TGTCCCCCTGCCAATACAGACTGCGTATGGTCGGTGAGGAAGGAGGAGAACCATCGCATAACAGTACCTCCCACTCCCAACCCCACCAAGCGCCGCAGCATGGTACCGTGGTCCACGGTATCAAAAGCCGCTGAGAGGTCCAAAAGAACTAGGACAGAGGAATAACCCCTGTCCCGGGCCCTCCAGAGATCATTCACCAATGTGACCAATGCCGTTTCCGTGCTGTACCCTGGCCTGAAGCCCGACTGGAGCGGGTCTAGATAGACTGTTTCCTCCAGGTGCCGGGGGAATTGCTGCGCAACCACACTCTCAACAACCTTCGCCACAAAGCGAAGGTTGGAGACCGGGCGATAGTTAGCCAATGCATCTGGGTCCAGGGAAGGCTTCTTAAGAAGGGGCCTCACCACCGCCTCCTTCAGGGCTGCGGGGAAGACACCCTCCCGTAGGGAAGCATTTATAATTCCCTGGAGCCAGGCTCGTGTACCCTCCCGGGCAGCCAGTACCAGCCAGGAGGGGCACGGATCCAGTAAACATGTGGTTGCATTCAGCCTCCCCAGGATCTTGTCCACGTCCTCGGGAGCCACAGAGTCAAACTCCTCCCATATAATAGTCTCAAGACCTGCTCCTGTCTCCTCCCCCAGGGCCACCAAGTCAGAGTCCAAGCCTTCTCGGATCCGAGCGACTTTGTCATGCAGATATTGAGCAAAGTCCTCAGCCCTCCCCTCCAGGGGATCCTCCCCCCCCTCAACTGAAGGAGAGAGCGGGTCACCCTGAAGAGGGTGGCTGGGCGATTATCTGATGACGCAATGAGGGTGGAGTAGTAATTAGACCTCGCCACCCTCATCGCCACTAGGTAGGATCTAACATGCATCCTTGCCTGTGCTCGGTCGGATTCGGTTTTAGATGCCTTTAGATGGCAGTCTAGAGTTTCGATGAAACTGGTAGGGCTCTGCTAGAATCTGAATGTTTGAAATGTCAGGAAATGTGTTTCCCTCCCCCCCCAGGGAAAAATTGAGTGAGTGGGGGCATATTCATGACTGGGAAAAAGAAATTACATCATTCTAAACTCCCTTCCTGAGTTCATACACAGTAAATCACAAACCTGAGAGTGGAAATGCTTACGCTGTTCTGGAACAAAATATTCTAATCTTATTGGGGCAGTTATTTAATATGTGTCCAACTTTCTACAACTTTGAGTTTAGTGCCATTGAACTAAAGCAGAATTTCCTTTCCTTTACTACTGGCCAAACAATATTGAATATTCACGTGCAATATGTATATTGCAACACATTCTATTGTATTTGTTTATTTATGGGATTTATAGTCCACCATTTTGCCAACAGAAGGCTCTCAACAAGAATTGTAAACAACAATGTAATCAAAACATAATTTTAAAAGCATACTAATATACAACCATAAAAAGTTTGCATAAACATATACATTTTTTGTTAGCATCTATTAAGTACATCTTAAAATTGTGAACAAATAAGCATGAAACCTCATTGTTTTATACTTTTATATCCCTCTGTTCTATGGGCTGAAATTCTAAAATCAGTCTTGTTGCAGAACTGCTGTGATTTCCCCTCCTTTTTTTCACATCACAGCAACTCTCACAGACTGTGCAACTAACAAATAGGAAGTTTAAATATATTTCCCCACTCCATAGTTTGATTTTTACATTGTGCATCATGAAAATTTAATTCATCTATTTCCTTAAAAGAAAATAGATTTAAAGCAGCACATTTTGAAACTGACATCAGAAGACTAGGGCAGCAATTTATGTTTTAAAAATGATATACAATTTGTATGTGTTGTATGCATGGATATACATTTTCTGTTTCCTGTTCAATCTGCTACATCACGTGACGTCGCGAGTTTGACATGTCTGTGCTAGACAGATGGTGTTTGTGAACAATATCAAACTTTTCTACAGTTCTGTAGACCTTTTCCTTTCAATGCAACTTGGACAACCATATTATGAAATAACCTCAAGCCTTTCAATTAGGGGACTGTGCTCTGTGAATACATAAGAGTGGGATCCTGGATCATATTCAACCATTATTTGCTTAAACATGGTTATATAGTAGCTTAAGTTCGCAGCACACAGTAAGCCTGAAGTTTATTACTCGCTTACTGACCTGTTTTCTTTTGTTGATTTTGTCATTCATTGGATTATTTTAATCTGGGCTATCTGATTTAATATCTTAGTGGTTTTTATGTTTTTTCCACTTTTGTACACTGCCACTGGAATTGTGCAGCCAATAAATTTAAAGAAATAGAATAGAATAGAATAGAATAGAATAGAATAGAATAACAGAGTACATAGCCATAACCCACTGTACAAACCACAATAGCTGGTTTCACACAGGGATGGAAGCTAAATGATCCTACATATGAAAAAATATATAATGGTAATTTCTTTCTATTTGTACTTTTAATGTGAGGGTAACTGAACAACTACCTCTAAGAAAATCCTGAAAAATAGATTCATAACATGAAAGGCATCCCTCCAACCCTGTATTCTGAACTTTGGCCCCAAGACCCAAAGGGCAGACTACCCTAAAGCGGTAGTCCAACACTTATATGTGAATACATGTGTCTGAATTCAAATGCTTTATTTGAATGAACAGATTGTA